CGGCGGGCCTGTCCAACCTGGCCAATGAGGGCTGGAGTTTATTTCTGTGGGTCCTGATGCGTTTCGCCCTGTGGCCCAACAGCCAGCGAGAGCTGCACATAGCCCCGCCCCCTCACACTGCCACATGGATGCTGAACGGAGCCAGCCAATGAGAGGAGAGCGTGAGACGGTCAGGTGATGAGGTGACTGTCAGGCTCGGTTAGAGAGCGTGCTGGAGAAGTGAAGTGAGGCAGCTAATCCCTCCGTGCACACACACACACACACACACACACACACACACAACCCTGACAGGCAAAAACAACAGAGATTGTTATCCCACTGAAAGAGCTCAGAGGGATCAGATGATATTACTCATAACTACTCGGCTAGCAGTCGACGGTTTCCAAAAGAGGAAATGCCACATTTAATGTTAATATGAGAGCAAAACGGTTTGAATAAACACCTATTAATCTGAAACAATTATTAGCTTATACTGATGCAAAAAATTTTTAACAGATTGTTGGTGGAAGAGAGAATTATGGTCAATAACTATAGTAAAATACTACACGCTTACTAGTAGTTCAAATATATTTATTCAAAATCCTTCAAAATTATAAAAATGTATAATTGCATTTTGAAAGAATTTTGAAGAAATATTGAATCCATTCAAATGCATTTTAAAATATAAAAAAAAGTACACTACTGCTTTTGTAAAGCTATTGACCAATCAGAATCAAGAAGTGGAACTATATATATATATACTTGTATATATGTTGTTGTTTTTTAATTCACTTAAATGTTTAATAAAAGATGTGCAGAAGTTTATGAATGGATGGAGTTTCTGCAGATGTTCTGATACCTCAGCGATGCAGACACAGTCCTCTGTGCTTTACTGAGATTTACAGCAGCAGCAGCAGCGCTGGAGAATCCCACACAGGAAGGAGAACTCAAACATTCACTCATGACCTACTTTCACTGACTCTATACGGCTCACTCTTCCTGACAGAGACCCTACAGACGATCTGCAAACAAAACCACTCGTGCCCACAGCGGACAGACGACAGACGGACGGACAGACGGACAGACAGACGTCCACAGAGGATTCACTTTACACATGGCAGAGGAAATAGTCCGTTTAACAGGAAGTCAGAAGTGCACATGAACTACTATGAGAGAAGAGATTGTGTTCACAGCTCAGTGGAAAAGAAAGAGTGTGTGTGTGTGTGTGTGTGTGTGTGTGTGTGTGTGTGTGTGTGTGTGTGTGTGTGTGTGTGTGAGGTATCTGATTGGGGTGTTAGATAACATCAGTCTGCAGTTCTGTGATGAATCATCCGCTCTGGTAACAGGACACGGCTGCTGCCGGCTTCTGGGTAATCTCAGCTGAAAGACGGCCTGCACATCTTTCATAGAGATCTGGACAATTAAATAAGAACACTAGTTTAACTCAGGCACCCTGAAAATGATTACAGGGACCAGTCAAGCAATAATGTGCTTACACATCTCGTTACACATCATTTTTATGGCCACTATCTTGTTGAAACAAGGGCACTGAGGACAGAGGCTGAGCTTAATTTAAACGGGACCCTTTTTACAAGATGCCCAGAATGTGTCTGTGACGTTTCAGATCAAAATATCCCACAGATCATTTATTATCAAATGTTGTAAACACTCTTAAGTTGAAGCAAAAACACTCTTTTAGTGCCTGTGTCTTTATATGTAAATGAGCTGCTGTCTCCTCCCCTGTCCCGCCTGAGGGGGCGTGGCCACTACACACACTGAGTGGCAGACAGACGGGGGCAGCGTTGGTCTTCATGCCACGAAAAACCCACAAACCACACAGACCAACCGTCACACATCAACGTCACGACCTCACGTCGGCCGGCGGGTCCGTCCCGTCTTTCTACCTGGTTCATCTCTTTACATTCACAAACAAACTATCTGCGAAATCAGACCCTAGTAACTCTTCCGCGTCAGCTTTCCTCAGAATTAGCTTCACTTTTACATTTATATTCATTCATTTAGCTGACGCTTTTATCCAAAGCAACTTACAATTGCTCTATATGTCAGAGGTCGCACGCCTCTGGAGCAACGAGGGGTCAAGTGTCATGCTCAGGGTCACATTGGCGTCTCACAGTGGATTCGAACCCGGGTCCCTCACACCAAAGGCATGTGTCTGACCCACTGCGCCATCTTAAGCCTTTATGAAGTTCACACGCCCAACAGTCACCATAGGTCAACAGTTAACTATTCACATGAAAACATTTTACAACTAAATTACACTTCTTGTGTTCATTTTGTACAATGCTTATTGATTAAACATTTTTAGTCTAACATTAACAAACTTCTTTAGGTAAAACTTTTGGCTTTAAAAGTGTGCTATCTAATGCAATGACATCCAGATATTTTAAAAGTATGGCATCCTAATAGTTTTTGTGGGCCCGGTCCCTGTAAACTACATGGACATTGTTAGGAAATATGAAACGTTAAATATAGCAAGTTGCAGTGAATAATGTATGCGTCCCGTTATGGGCTCACTGCACTTTTCTTTTGCAGAGTCAGCATCTCCTAACCAACTATAGCAAAAGGGCAACTCCGAATGTTGCTGATCATGTCAAAACAAAAACCCTGTCCAACGTACAAGGTCTGATCTCACCTCAATACACAGAGGAACAGAGAGAGAGAGAGACAGAGACAGAGAGAGAGAGAGAGAGAGAGAGAGAGAGAGAGAGAGAGAGAGACAGAGAGACAGAGACAGAGAGAGAGAGAGAGAGAGAGAGAGAGAGAGAGAGAGAGACACAGAGAGACAGAGACACAGAGAGAGAGAGAGAGAGAGAGAGAGAGAGAGAGAGAGAGAGAGAGAGAGAGAGAGAAAGGGAGAGAGCTGGCAGAGTGATTTCTTTGTTAATAATGCTGCTTTGAACAACTGCTAATTAAAGACCAGGCACACTAGCGTGCTCACACACACACACACACACACACACACACACACAAACACACACACACACACACACACACCTCCATTCATCAAAGCTTTGTGCCTGAAGAGAAACAGATCGAGTTAGTCTAGTTACTGTGGCAGGAACACAATGACCCTGAGCTCACGTCCATCAGAAGAACAAGACATGACTCTTTCACATCTCATCCTCTCACTCGTGTGTGTGTGTGTGTGTGTGTGTGTGTGTGTGTGAGAGAGACTTTCTTAAAGAGATAGTTCACTAAAGGAGGAATATTCCTTCATCGTTTCCTCATCCTCCCTTTTGTGGAGCACAAGCTGATGTATTAACACCACCATGGCCACTCATTTCAATATAAAGACAGCAAAGAAGACTTGGGCTGTCAAACTCCAAAATGCCAGAAAAAAAGTGCAATAAAAGTATAATTAAAGCAGTCCATAGGTATAGGTATTTATATAGCATTTTTTAATCTATAGAGCCTTATATTTGTTTGTATGATGAACATATTTGAGTTGTGTTCTCTGAAAAGCTCGATATCCATCCAAGATTTTCTAAAGAATTCACGAGAGAAGTAAAAATGTCCAAAACAAATCATTCTTTTGAATAAGGTTCAGTTCAATGCATCAGTCGATCCAGATCACAAAACTCAATCTGATCCCAAATTGCAATGATTTAAACTCACTGCTTTAATGATCTCGTAGCAATGCTAAATCAGTGGAAGTAATGTAAACTTCATCATGCAGTGGTCTCGCACGGGCTTCTGTAATGTGATGCGCCATCCTTTCAGTGTCTTCTATACATTAGTGACTTTTCAACAAAGCGACAAATCCAGCAACTATTTGGACTACTGGTTAACATGCGGTCAGTCACTATATCATACTTGTTCTGATGTCTGAAAATGTGTAAATTAAACAGCTTTATTGGACATTCAGCTACTAAAACACAGATTAGGAGATTTAAAGTGCCAGTTGCCACATCACGTCATCCAGCGACGTTTAACATCTTTCTACGCAGGTTTTGGGTACTTTCCATTGAAAATATTTGGCAACACTGATCCTTCAGATAGAAGCTTTTGAGAACATTAAACATAAAACAATGTGATCTAAAAGGCATTATAAATGCAAATAATGCACAAATATCCAGTGGCTTTCGGTTCATAACTGCAGGAGAACAGATTAGAACCACAAACATGCCTAATATATTGAATAATTATACATTTTAATTCAACTTGTGTCCTCTTTACGTCTCTACTGTGAAAAATTAAAGGGTAATCCTATACATCAGGAAACAGTATCTGCTCCAGCACTGCAGACCGGTGTTCTGTCGATCTGTCCTACCTTGTCAGATTTTCCTACCGTAGCGCAAAATTATAGCCATATCTATCGGTTCATCCTACCTCGTCGTAAAATCCTACTGAGCGTTTCTGCTTCGCGTCTGTGACTAAGTACATAAAATATTTCAGTGTAACTTTGCCGAATTTTCTTATTAGGCCATGTTACGGTGATTTTACACTGCAAAGTAACTTTACCTCTTCAGATTGTCCTATGAAATAAACGGTAGGATGATTTTACGTTGCAAAATACCTCATCATTGTGCTACCAGTATGAAATAAACGAGTAGTATGATTTTACAGTGCAAAATACCTCATCAGATTGTCCTACCAGTATGAAATAAACGAGTAGTATGATTTTACGATGCAAAATGCCTCATCAGATTGTCCTACCAGTATGATATACAATGGTAGGATGATTTTACAGTGCAAAATACCTCATCAAATTGTCCTACCTGTATGAAATAAACGAGTAGTATGATTTTACAGTGCAAAATACCTCATTATTGTCCTACCAGTATGAAATAAACGAGTAGTATGATTTTACAGTGCAAAATACCTCATCAGATTGTCCTACCAGTATGATATACAATGGTAGGATGATTTTACAGTGCAAAATACCTCATCAAATTGTCCTACCAGTATGAAATAAACAGGTAGGATGATTTTACGGTGCAAAATACCTCATCAGATTGTCCTGGAAAAATAAACAGACAGGATGATTTGACATTCTTAGTTTTTAATCTGTATAGTCCCTGGACAGATGTTACAAATTTACTCTAAACCAGATGATAATGTAAATTGAAATAAGATTGGTTATTGAGATGATTTATAATCAAGCAGATAGAATATATACATAAAGGAGATTTTTAATCAAATTCATTTCAAAATTCAAAATCATGCAACACAGAGGCACAATACAAAACAAGTAAAACAATAAGTTATTAATATAAATATGGACTAAGACTGTTAGCATTGCAAATGATAAAGGCACATACACTCAATCTAAACTACACACTTTTTGCACTTAAACACATTAAGGCTACTGAAGTTGCAACATTTAAAATGTGCCCATCTATTGCAGCTCTCACACTGTACCTGAAAATAAAAGAGATGAATATATATATATAAATTAGTACATTTAAAACAATATAGAATCTGAAAATATGAAAAGAAAAATTACCTTTTCATTTAAATAACAAAATTCTACAAAAAAAAAACAAAAAAAACATGGCACATAAAGTTAAACTATTGTTTTTTGGGTGTGTGTATTATAAGTTGTATACCATTTCAATCATGCTTTCGTTGGGGTCGTCTTCCAGCATGCTGCAAAGCACACAGTACTCCTCTGCATTACCTATACATTTGTTAACATTAAAAAAAGATACATATGAATTCATTGGACAATCATATATATCATAGTGTACTAAATGTGAACATAAACGCCATGAAAAAAAATTCTCAGACCTGTTCTGAAATTACATTAAATCAAATCATTCTTGCAATACTTTTTGCATCCTTCAAGTTATTTTCTACTCGGAAAAATGTATTTAATCAAGTAAGAATATCCAAATATACAGAGGGGATAGAGAAGAAAATTACAGAGTAAAGATAGCATCTACAGAGGTGTACTACATGACATACTGTACATTACAATACAGTACATACATCACTACGGTATTACAGAATTAAAACAGTACTCACCTCGACATGCAAGAAGTGTGCAGGCTACTTTCATGCGTGCTGAGCTGACCGCTTCAGGCGTAGTCTGAACATTGCTGATTGTTCCTGTCAGCAGGTATTGTTCAGCAAACTGAAACAATAATTGACAGATGACTTAATTAAATTCATTATAACATATCCAGATCTGAAGCCACTCTTGAAAATATATGAACACATACATTCAATACCAATACTCCACAACTGCTGGAATCCATCTGCAGGTCGTGCTTCAGGGTCCGTAATTGCCACTGGGCTGTTTGCTCATCACACCTTGTTTTTAAAAAGTTCCTAAATGTCGTTGAGACATTTGTACTGTTTAGAATCAAATAGCATTAAAAAATTAAAATAAAAAAAGATGAAACAGAGTTCTAACAAGGTTACCTCCAGTTCCGCAGAATTCTATGTTCATAAGAACATTCATTTCCCATTGGGTCAATCACAAGGAGTGTTTTTTCAGGCATGTTGATAATCTGAAATATAATGTCATATAATCATAAATAAGGTTTTAAAATATTTTTAGATCACTACTAACAACTACAGGAAGCTGCTTAAATAAACCTTTAAATTATTGACCTAAAGCATTAAAGAATGTCTGCAGATTATGGAGAAAGTGTCAACACAGTGATTTAGTTATTTGCAGGTGAATTTAACACATAAGAATATAAGTGAATGGTAGCAATATACTGAGGGAAAATTCCAAACGGAAGTGAGCATCCCTATGCCCTACTCCCTTCAAAGGGCAGAGCCCTTGAAGTGGGGACTTTGGAGTGAGCAGTGCACTTGTGTGACATTATGTAGCCATTTGGAATGCACTTGGTGAAGAGAGCGATGAAAGACAATGTAATTTCCTCATTATCTTCACATGGGAATGTTCCCACTCTAATATATATATATATATATATATATATATATATATATATCTGTATCTCCTGTCTATATATATATATATATATATTGACAGGAGATACAGATAACAAAGGCTCTTTGCCTTGGCTTCGTCGTGTATAGCCTATTTGTGTGTTAGCCTACTTCTCTGCTCACAACTTTAAAACTTGCAGTGTATCATCTTTGACCATGCATTACCCAACACATTTCTTAAACTTATTTAAACATAACATGACAATCATTTGTGAAATATCACGAACATGAACAAAACAACTTTAATTGCTCTGTTGGTTAGTTGACTCGAACTCTCCCACCAGTATTCTGTTTGACAATAGCCCAAGATCACTAAAGAAGAAGAAGAAGAAGAAAAACATTTTCTGTAATCTCACTTGCAATGTACTTTGAAAAATACACACGCACCACAAGAATCCAATGTGCTCCAACGTTCACGGGGCACAGCCAAATGTCCTCAATGGGAAACTTCATCTATGAAAAGTATTTAATAACAAGTTTGTGATGGTTCCAAAATACGCAAATATTATCTACTTTATTACTTTCTGGAAAGCTAAATTACCTTTCCTAGGCATCTGAACTGTCCAGCAAACAACGAACGTGCAACAACTGCACAAAGCTGGTGTATGTGGTTCTAAAAAAAAAAAAAAAAAAAAAACATTTTGTAAGTATATACAATTAAATTAGTGTTCCTAAATAAGTAGACATTCTATACAGTACATACCTGTTTTTTTTTAATGACCAGGTGCAGGTATGCATCAATGACCTAAATTAAGAAATATTAACATGAATTTAAACAAACTAAACTTTGTTGTTGTTGTTTTTTTGAGACAAAACATTTTCAATCAGGAGACTCTTAAAATCATGTTCTTAAGTCATTTAGACAACCAGCTGATTGGAAAGAAAGGCCACCTATAGCATAAGAATAAATAACTTACTTCATCAGCAAGCCACTGGGTCCCTTGCAGTGAGTGAAAAGAAGAGTCATAGAGCTTATATGGCCCAACAACTGCTTCAACCTGACCAGTGACATTTGCAGCCCAGACCTTCACTACTGAAAAAGAAAGACAAAGTTAGTGTTGCCAATAATTTTTTCTAATTAATCAAATTTACAGGGCCAACGAGCCAACATAAAATAAACTTGGCAAAATGAACGTGCCAAACATTCAAGGCCATAGGTTTGGTCTTTAAGTTGGAAGAGACAACAATCCACCCCCTACCCCCACATCGGTAGTAGCCTATATAATATGCACAATAATGTGATGGAGTTCACAGAAGTATTAGGAAGAACAATTCTGTCCTCCTAAAATGTATGCAAACCTACGCCCTTGCAAACAGTCATCATGTCAAAAGTGTACAGGACAGCTAGAGGAAGTGGATATAACTCAAAACAATTTATGGTATCTATATTAAATAAGAAAAAATTAGAAAAATTTAATATTTTGGTGGGTGCAGTTGTGAAGGTTTTTCAGTGAGCTTTGATTTAAAAATACTGTTTGACTTAGTTCATGCATTTTGAATTTTTTAGGCATATTTTTAGGGGTTGTTTTTTATGATTTATTGGTTATTATGTCCACTTCCTATAAATAACGGTGACCTGTGACCAACAGGTCAAAATGGCCACCATGATTTAAACACTGCAAGCAAGCAACCATAACAACAAGACCAAACTGGTCAGTTAGGCCAAACTGGCAACTAAGGATGAACTGAGATCTCTGTAAATATAAAACCTTGTTCCTCTGAGATTTGGTTTACATCTGATGGGAACTTTATTGCTGTCTCTTCATCTGTTGGGGTTACTTTTAGCTCCTTGATGTACCCATTTGTTTGGTCAAGCATTTTAGGAGCAACTGGAATAACAGAAGGTCTTTGTAACGCTGAATCTTGGACCATCTCTGAATCATTTACCTTGGTCACAGAATGCGGAGTGCTGAGTGTAGGTGCAACAGTGCAAGGAGGCATCTCGCAAGAACTGTTACTCTCTGTAGACCCACTGATTGAGATAACGGAACAGTCATCAGGCACTTTTCCAGTTTGGCTTCTTCTGTATGGTTTAATGTGACTAATGCTATATTTAGTTTTTAAAGTAATCCCTCCAGGTTTGTTTAATGTGACAAGTTTGCCACTGAGTCTCTCAATGATGTAGGGTCCTGAGAAGTCAGGTTCAATCCTTCCTCCTTTTCTTCCACGCTTCCTCATATTCATCAGAAGAACCTCATCACCAACATTGTAAATCAAGTCTTTGTACTTCTTCTGGACCTTTTTAGCATATGCTTCCTTCTGTTTCTCCTGTGATTTACCAATGTTTTCTTCTGTCTGCTTTTTGGCCTCATCTCTCTTTTTTTTATCAGAAACTACATAATCACTAAAACTTGATTCCACAGGAAGACTGATGGTGGAAAGCTAAAAAACAAGGCAATATAATTGAAGCAATATAAATTCATTTGTGAACTATTTAAATTTTTACATGTGCATGTATATTATGAAAAGCCCATGGTAGCATGAGAAGAGGCCCTTTGCTAAAAACATGGTTGTTCACTATTCATAACAAACTGTTAAGAATATTAGTGACCCTTATTGTCTGTTGTGAAACAAAGACCAAAAATTATGATCACTATCAGTTTAAGATCAAAGGTTTTATAACAGATGTTAAAATTGAATACAGCTAATCAATTCAGGGTACCAATAATAAAAACGATATTTACTGTATGATTGGTCTTGTAAAAAAAATAAAATAAAAAAAATAATTAGCATCTTCTACTACAGTACCCATTGGAAAGGATTTCAAGGCTAAATTTTCTTTAAGCACAATTCTTCTGACATAGGCTAATATGACAATATTGCTGAAATGACTCCATAAGCACACTCACTGGCATTTCAGCAGGAATCTCTGCAGGGAACACTGCCTCTCTCCCATACATTAAAAGAAAAGGGGAGTGTTTTGTGGTGGTGTGGACCTTTGATCTTAAAGAAAACAAGGTGGCATCCAGATAGACATCCCAGTCATTCTGCTGGTCATTAACCAATTTCTTGAGGGCTCTAAAATAACACATAAGAGGGAAAGGTTTTTTGTTTTTTAGAAGGCTTATAAACTTGGAGTATGAAAGCCTTTTTAGGAATGCATTTATAACTTATTTGGTGCCTTGAAGCGGAAGATGGTTCAAAATGGTTGGGCGGGGGTGCCTAAACTTTTCCTGACCTAGGTACATACATTAATAAAACTTACCGTTTAATGTTGTCGTTGGTCTTTTCATCCAGGCCATTAGTTTGAGGATGATAAGCTGCTGTCACACTTCTTTTGATGCACAACATTTCACAAAGCCTGTGGTTAAGCTTTAAAAATAAAGGGGAAAAAAAATCACTGTGATTAAATGGGAGAAAAGCTCCTTAAAACATACAGTACTTGAATACATGTACTGTATGTGCAAAAATTAAACAACTCTTGAAAATCTGAAAAAAAAAGAAAAGGGGTCTCATTCATGAAACATTCGTAAATATACGAGTAAGTATGAGAGTGATTTGCATGTAAAGAGACCTTCCCGAAAAACTCATCTCCTGATTCACAAATACTTCATAAACATCAGATGTGAAGGTGAAATGTGTGTTTTAATGAATTACCATAAATCCCGCCCATTAAATCCGACTGACAACATGGGCATCATATTATGACACGAAACGAAGCATTTCAAAATGTCTTCTCAAAAGCGAATGAGAAAGAAAAATTTCTCAGATGCAGAAAACGAAGTTTTATTATCAGAAGTTTTATTATCATTCAAAGCACCACATTTTATTTAAGCGTAGGCTACATAGTGGCGTATCAGGTCCTAAAGAAAAGGAAACTTGGCAGCATATTACAGATGCAGGTAATGGAGTTTCATCTGTTAATCGAACAGTCCCAGAAGTAAAAAGAAAAACCGTATGTAATTACTATAATATAATATTTTTTTCAAAATGCTGTGTAAATATGTACCAGATTAAGGTGAATTAAAATGCAGCCTTAGTTATTAATGAGCAAAACTTTCGGATGTTAAACTCACTATTTACAAGTGGCTGGGAGCCGCTGTATATTTCTTTCGTAACAACTAACATTTGGAAAATACGAAAATTTGAATGAATCCGAAAATTTACGCCAGAAACACTTTACACACGATTTACACAAAAATTC